TGGGTGACCCTACCAGGGGCATAAAGCCCCAGACAGCATAGCTCCTAGGATCATTGGGACACTCAAACCCCTCCACCACGATAAGGTAGCAGCCCAAGGGACACAGTATCTCCAAGGTAATGTCATTATTTATAGCATTCATAACATTTAGTGCTTAAGGTAATATCCTCTGAAATGGTTTCTAATTACATAAAAACAATATTTAAAATAAAAAAACAGCAGAATGATAAACACTTCTTAGATTCAAGCAAGACAAAGCAGAAAACATGGAAAATACACAACAAAGTAAGATTTATTTATGACAAACAAAAATACAATTTTCTGTTAAATTATCATGGCAATTATTTGAGTTTCATTCCCAGATGGGGAAAGTTTCATTATTGTTGAAGATTTAGTAAAAATATCTCATGATGCAAATGTCACAGAAACAAGATGACTGAGCTTCACTATAATGCATAAGCATAATAAATAATCAAAGAACTACAGTTTTGTAAGTATAAACTTGAAATATTGCAACAGACAGTATTAATCAAGAACAAGGCCAACACAGACATAAAAGGTGATGGGCATGAGTTTTGAGACATGTTGTGAATGACTCTCAGCTACCACAGCCAGCACAACATCTGTAAAACTGACTGAGTTATAATGTCAGCTGTAGTGGTCATTTTTAATCTGGTTAATTCCAAACATCAATCAGTTGCAGATGCACACCCACTGATCTCTTTCTGAAAGTTTCACTGAAATCCTTTCAGGTGTTCGAGAGCTGTCTAAAAAAAACAGGGTTGACTCCAAAAAGTTAATACTGAAGTTTTTAGGCAAAGGTCTCATGAAACGATGAACACTCGGATTACTTGTTAGGGATGACTCTCAGCTACTACCGTACCAACTTTTAGCTGAATAACTATAAAACTGACGGAGTCGCAGACAGTTTTGCTATTTTAAGGCAACTTAGATGTGGCGGCCATCTTGAATCAAGTCAACTCCAAAATGTAAACAGTTTTAAAAGTGCATCCAATGACCCTTTCCTGTAAGTTTCATTACAATTCGTTTAGTGGTTCGTGAGATATTTTGCTAACAGACAGARGCACACGGGAGACGTGGGCAAAAAAACATTATCGCCCTCTCAAATACATGCTGCTTTGAGTGAGAGAAACAGACTTAATTTTTGTGACCCCGCCCCCTAGACACAAACACGCGCGCACACACGGAGCAGCGCCCTGGTGATGGATGGATGGACGGATGCGTGACGAGGAGACAACAGGAGCGTCGCATCCGGCCGTCTGGAGCGAAGGGGACCGACTCATCTCATCATCAGACCCGCGCGCTTGGAAGACAAACCCCGGACTGTTTGTTTTCATTTCCGCTTCAGGAGGAGGAGGAAGCTGTCAGGTGCGCCTCGCGCTCCACGTCAGGAGCTGCGTCTGCGCGTCAAAAAAAAAAAAAAAAAATGTCGCCTCACCTGAGTGATCTTGTCTCCTGCTGGATTTCATACCCCCCCACCACAGCTCGTCCTCGTGTTTCCTGATTGATCTTCATGTCTTTGCCCCTCGCGACTGAAAGAACCCAGCAAAATAAGAGGATCGTTTGTTGTTGATGCAGCCTTTCATCCTGTGATCACACGCGACTATCAGAGGATCCCCCCGTGAACATCTACCGAGTGGACGATGGAAAATCCCTCACTATGATGGCATAAAGGGTAAGAATTGATTTATACCTCCCCTCTCCTTCCTCCTCCTCTTATATTTACTGTATCCTCCTGGGTGAAAAGCAGTCATTTAACACAAATCCTCTGGTGGCTCATGTTGGCTGTATCATCCAGCTGCGCTGAGACTCAGACAGATGTTCAATCAACAAGAAGCTGTCAGGATATTTTCTGTGCGAAAGAAAGAGGCACTGGATTTGTGCGCTTTAGGTTCAAAAATGATTTGTTTTTAGATGACCCCTTCAGTCTGGATTGTTACTGAGAATTTTGTGGAGTTTGCTTGTTTCCAGTCAAGCTTTTTTCTTCAAAAGATAAAGTAAAAAAAAATGTATATATTTTTTCTTTGATCTGATTGTCTCGAGATTTCTTTTGTTCAAGTCGTCAACTGAACATGAGACAATAAATATTTTWAAATATTTTTCACTGGATGAAAACGTTAACGAGTCGTCAATAAAAGTGACKTTAGATCATTACATCATGCAGTGAGATGTAGATTTGATTTTGAGTGGACACACACACACACACACACACACACACACACACACACACATCTTTCTATCTTAACAGGAACTTTCCATTGATTTCTATAGCCTAACCTCGACCCTTACCCTAAACCTAATCACAACCCAAAYACAGCATTTGAATTTAAGGAGCCCGGGCTTTGGGCCCCGTAAGGAGCAGTGGGTCCTTACAAGGCAGTATGTTTTGGAATAATTGGCCTTACAAGGTAACAAATACAAGGACACACACATCTAATCCTGCTTTTTAGCTTCCATGGCAACACCTGAGTCGGAGAAAMATGTTGTCCCTATTAGCAGCCCCCCATGGGAACCAGACCTGATGAAAACTTTTATTGCAACTCAGTTAACAGTTTGTTTATTTTAATTTTTTTCCCTTTGTTTTAAAACTCATAACTCATTCTGTGGCAGCACAGCAACCAAACTAAAACTGTCACTGATGCCCTCGGTCAGAGGGAGGAACCCTGTGTGACAGAGGAGGAGCAGGAGTCAGACGTTGGAGACGAGATGAGGCAACTGATGTGGAGCAATCCAGTGATGAGGACGAGTCGAAGTCATCCTCTGTTAAAAAAACTAGTCCCRTTATTTTAAGTTTAATTACAGTGTTTAGACCGTAATTTAAAAATTCAGCGGTAACTTTGGGCCTATTTCCATTAATAAAACCATAGTGTTCATTTTAGACTGAAAACATAYAAAATATGTTTCACTGAGCCTTGATTAAAAAAATTAAATGCTTTTAAAACAAATGCTCTTGATTATCTTTCACATGTAATCTGTGACAAATTGTTTTTAATCTGCAACAGGGGCGGAGCTAGACTTTTTTTTTTTTTTTTGCAAAGGGTGGCACAGGCACGGCCAAGGTGTTTTTTAGAGGTGGCTGTGGCAGCTGTGGGGGGAGTGGTTAGGGGKGTTGTCCTGTAACCTGAGGGTTGCTGGTTCAATCCCCCATTTCAGCAGTGTTGTATAAAGTACCACAAAGTGATACTTGAGTAAAAGTACAAGTATGTTACCAAAAGATTATTTTGATAAAAGTTAAKGTCTCCTTTAGGAATATTACTTGAGTAAAAGTCTTAAAGTATCTGATATTTTTTACACTTTAGTATTGAGTATTGATTTAAAATGAGCAGTTAGATTTTCTGTATTTATTAGGAGGTGACCTCCCTCCAAAAAATGCAGAATTGACTATATTTTATTAAAATCTATCTGAGGGCTGCGCCCAAATGCAATAATATAATTCATGAAATACAAATATTTCTWAAGTACAGTCCTTTTATTTGAATAATTATTTCCTGCTGGAGTGTGACATGAATTGTTTGTGTACAAACTAATACGGTATCAGAATTGTATATATTTATACTTCTCATTCAAACACAATTAAATTCACTCTATCTTGGAGGCACAATTTATATGGATAGTATTTATTTTTTACAATAACAAGCTGGAATGAAAACAAGCAAAAATGAAATGAAAGCAACAACTTTCTACTTCTTGCCTTTTAAAAAATGTAAGTATAAAGTACAGATAATTATGTGAAAATGTAAGAAGRASAAGTAAAAAGTAGGCTGAAAATAATTACTCAAGTAAAGTACAGATACCCAAAAATTCTACTTAAGTACAGTAACAAAGTATTTGTACTTGTGTGTACGTGTGATCATATAAGAATGATAAAAAAATCATGGTGAATGCTAGTCACAACTTATTATCCAGCCAATTTAGACAAGCAAAGCTAAAGATTAGAAGTAGCTGAAAACCATTGTTACCAAAAATYCTAATCAAAGCTTCAAGATGATATCAAAATGATTTTGAATTCAAGCAGAAGTTGCTGTGTGTTCATATTTGTAATGTGGAGAAGTTAGCAGAGTTCAGATGAGCACAAAACAATGTAGGAACTGCTCCAAGTTTATTTTTTCTTCTGTATGTCTGAAACAGATTGAGGATTGGAGCCGTCTGGAGGAGACAACATGGTTATCACTGACCGAAGCAGCAGCACCCCTGTGCCTAAAAAGGACCCCCAGAAGGTGAAAAAAAGGAAGTCCCGCCCCCATGGGCTCCCCTCCCCAGCTCTCTGCTGCGCCTGTGGTTTGTGCATCATGCTGGCAGGACTCAACATCACCCTGGTGGGCGCGTTCGCCTTCAGCACGCTGGTGCCTTCCGCCAACCCCCCCATCATCATCGGACCCGTCCTGCTGCTGGTGGCCTTCTCCTTCTTCGGGGCCTGCTGCGTGTGCAGTCGCCTGCCCCCTCCCCGCAGCTCGCGGGGGTCGAAGGCGGGCGGCCGGGGCGCGGGGCTGATGGGGCACGGCGGGCTGGCCGGCGGCGCGGCGTTCGAGATAGAGACCAGCGAGCACACGCTGCAGGACACCACGGCCGTGCAGCTGAGCCCCACGTCCTCGCGCGGGTCGTCCAGGGCCCCCAGCCCTGACGTGGAGTCCCCCGARGAGGCCCGGCCAGGACCGTGCAAGCTTTTCACCATGGAAGCCAACGGTCCKGTGTCAGCCACCGCGGCGTACTCGGCCTCTGCCGCAGCAGACGGCGAGGTGAGGCTCAACCTGCCACGAGAGGAAGTGGCCGCCTAGTTGGGCCGAAACGTTTCCAAAGCCCGAGTTCTAGCAGTGTAAATATGCTTCTGAGTCCAGGGGGGCTTGCTGGAACTGATTCTTCTTAGTGCCATATATGGTTGTCAGGAGTTATCATTTATAACACGTTTACTGTGCAAAAAAATAGTTCAAAGCATGCAAAAGTTAAAGAAACATTAAAGGGATCCCTGATTAGTTGTAACATTAGACTTTATTTGATAAACATTTATTTAAACTGTAAAATAAAGACTGCAAAAATACTCTAGGCTGTTTAGTTTTTATCATTTTTAAACTAAAAGTTTAAAAATATATTACACGGATGGGGCCATTTTATTTACACACAAAGCATTCTGGGTATATGATGTGGATAAGTTCTCAGTGTGAGAGAGCTATTTCCACCCTGAAGGTTAATCTTGGACAATATCTGATGATCGACTCTTTTAAATGAAACCAGAGAGCGTTGACAGAGAGGAGAAGGTAGAAATGACTCAGCCTGTAACTGAAAATATGGATGGAGGACAACAGAACTGCTTCATGGAAGAAGAACCTCAGCTCAGCTTTGCGCTAGCGCCAACACTATATTGCCTTATATGTATTAGCTCAGTGCTAGCGCCACAAACAAACAAGCTAAACTGAGGTCCTCATCTGTATTCAGTTGCAGCTGAGTCATTTTTGCGTTCTCCTCTCTGTCATGTGAATGGAGGACCTCAGTGATGAGAGGAGTATGTGTAGCGCTGAGCTAATACATATATATGATGATAGCGTCAGGGCTAATGCTAAAGCTAACAGGCTAAGCTGGGGTTCTTCTTCCATGAAGCAGTTCTGTTGTCCTCCATCCATATTTTCAGTTACAGGCTGAGTCATTTCTACCTTCTCCTCTCTGTCAACGCTCTCTGGTTTCTCACTACCATCCTCCCATCGATGACCTATCCACATCATCATTTACCCAGAATGCTTTGCTTGTAAATAAAATGGCCTCATCCGTGTAATATATTTTTAAACTTTTAGTTTAAAAGTGATAAAAACTAAACATCCTACAGTATTTTTACAGTATTCACTTTACAGTTAAAATATATGTTTATCAAATAAAGTCTAATGTTACAACTAATCAGGGATCCCTTTAAAGGTTTTCGTGGGTTTTTAAGTTTCASTATATCCCTACCTCTGTTTGTTTCAAACGAGGGGCATTATAAATCATTTTCACATCGACACAAAAGCACCTGAACTCATCAGAATTCCTTTTTTAAACTGTGACCCTGTCAGTCAGCGAACATCCAGAGGGCTCAAAAYAAAGAATTTGATCATTCCTGCATCCGGAAAAWAWTCTGTTCAGAAGGTCAGCGGTTGATTCCGACAGGAGACATTTGGTATTTTAGTGAGGCCAGCCCTGCTTCTGTAATGAACTTGCTTTAGGGGGCACACATTTTTATAGGCCACAGGGGTCCCAAAGCAATACGCTCTGCGCAGGAGATTAACTCTTGGCCCGAGCGTGCAGTGACTCAGCACCGCAGCCAGMATTTACACGTGAGAACGGTTCTCGTAGTTCGATGTAGCTTCTTTTTGTCATCTCTCAGTAACACTGTGAACACTGTTTCTCTTCATGGTCTCTAAACCTTACAGGTGCGTTATTATATAGTATTAGCAAAAAATTTAAATAAATGTCAGTTTAACCCACAACTTACACATTAATCATAAAAAAACATTAAACCGATTGTGGGATTCCATTTGGATACAGGTTTTCTAATATTTGCATCACTGAAAAGCCAAGTTGGACCAAGTTTAGACGCTCCCAATCACTGTGACGTCGTCTTGTCAGCCATAAACACAAGCCGTCACAGGAGACATTAAAACTCTGGTCTCCTTCGAAAGGAAAGTTGCCTTAGACTGAAATATCAGGATCAATCCAATGAGGGCTATATATAAACGTGCACAAAAGCAGTTTTCTTCAGAAAGCCTCTCTTTGGCTCTGGATTTTAAGTAAAGACTTTTTCTTAGTATTAATAATGCATGCAAACGATCTTCTGATCACACCCATATTTACACATCTACACATACTCACATCTGCAGGCTCCGAGCCACATCCTTTTATCCTCAGCAGGACCAGTTTTATTCTCGAAGTTCAACGTTGTGCCAAGCGATGGGTCCGAGCCTACTTCTGCATGATTTWAAAAAAGAAGAAAAAAACAAGGACTTATGAAGAGACACCTTGTTGTGAAAAGCTGGTGTGGTTTGTTTGTGTGTTTTTTGTTTTGTTTTGTTTGTGTTACAGTTAAACTGAAAAAAAAAAGTAAAGAAGACAATATTTTTGTGACGTTTCTGATTGGAAATAGCCATTCCAGGTGTGAGTCCTTATAAAGATATGAATAATAAAAGGTATTTCAGTAAAATCAGAGGTTGCTGGTTCTATGTATCATGAAAGAAAATGGGTTGAAATGAGATTTTCTTTTGTCCAGCCCCACACTGTGATGACCTTACTGCMTGGATGATTTTTCAGTCAAACTGATGACTCAGCTCTGTTCARATCATCCCTCTGGTGTTAAAAACCAACACAGGCTGCCGGAAAATCTGGTGTGAAGGACAAGAAACGTCCAAACACATTTTRATCAAGATGCCTTGTGACAGAAAGTTCACCAGGAGCTCCATCTGGCTGCTCCAATAACACAGTTCTRGTCTGCGATGATCAGGAGTCGCCGCTAGGGGTCGCTAGAGCTGTATTTGTTTGAGCCTCAGTGGATTTATGTAATATCTGGCTGTCGTTTTCCAGCCTGCAGAGAGACAGCATTAAACCTGCTGGTTATTGCTGAGGCTGGAGCTTTGCTTTTGGAGATGACAGACAAAAACTGAAAACTGGAAACAATTTTTCTTCAGATTTTATTTTATTTTATTTTACATCACATTGATTTTCTAACAAAGAATAAACTGCCATCACTGTCATCACAATGTTATGAGTGAAAACATGACAGTGCAGTTTGAGCTGAAACGACCAATCGTGGATTTATTTAAAGATTCGGTCGAGGCTGGCTTGAAATGACAAAGCCACTGATTTGGGCTGCCCTACTTTCCGAGGCAGAAGAACAAAATGGGCTCGAGAACAGACCGTGTGCAGAGAAATGAAGTGAAGTGAGCCTCATCTCCACTGAATTGTCCCTCAGCAGCAGGACCAAAACCTATACGGGAGGTGGGGGTATCCAGATATTTTGGTTTGAGAAAATGTGATGTATTTTGGGTTTAAGTGCATAAAAAACAAAACACTGTGACTATCATTTGTTTCTTTTAAATGTGCTAACGAGGTTGGAGGAGTCTTAGAAAGCAGATGGTGGGTTCAGGCATGTTGCTGTTACTGCATGAGCCAGGAGGGGAACTCAGCCAAGAAACTGAGGCTGAGCTCACTGAATATCCTGGAGTTCTGAGGAAGTTGTATCAGTGATCATTTATGGAAAATAATAAAAAACAAARTAGAAATAATCATTTTTCTCTTTAAAACAGGTGTCAAACTCAAGGCTCGCAGGCCAAATGTGGCCCACCATGATATTTTATGTGGCCCGRGAGAGCTACAAAGATGTATTAATGTATTAAAATAAGTGCATGCTGCATTAAAGCCAGTATTGTAACCATAAACTACATCTCCCATAATGCATCAATTATTTTAACTGCAAAATGACGGCATCCCACCAAGAGGTGCACATGGTTTAAAAGTAGATGGCAGCTGCAAAAAGCTGTGTAAAATCTCCATTTTACTGCATTTTTTTATTTTTTTTTTATTTTGCCAGCTGGTGGGCTAGTTTTACTGCAGCCCAGTTGAACTGGCAAGTGGGGATTTTCCAATTACAAGTTGAAAATTTAAACTGGAATGCCCCCTCCAAGTAGGAAATCCCTGTTGGAACGTGAAAGAGTTCAGAATTCAAGATAGTACCACAACTCAACAGTGAGTAAAACTCTCTAACTTTAACTTTTAATAATATTACTGTTATATAATGTTTAAATGCTGCTTCTACCACCATGTAGAGCTCAGCTATTATTTGTTAGCAGTGCTCAGTTGTAACAATGAGACGAGGAATGTGACGTATCGTGTCACATTAGTCAAAGTTAGTTACAACTGGCCCTTTGAGGGCAACCATAATGCTCATGTGGCCCTCTGTGAAGATCAGTTTGACACCACTGCTTTAAAATGAAAGATTTTTTTGAATGTGGGGTTCTATGGAATAGGTCGGGAACAATCAGTATCTTACCTGCAGGTCATGGAGGAGTTGAATTTTGYCCACACTGATAACAGGGGACACTCTGTACTGCAGACGTGGACGATTCTGATTCACTTTTCAAATCTCAAAGCTCAGTTTTGTTACCATRAATCTGTTCTCCCTCTTTATGACCCTCCTGCTGGCCTCAGTCCTAAAACTGAGACCATGTGGGTCATTTTGACTCGAGGGCAGGAGGGTTCAAGTAGAAGCTCATAAAATAGTGTGCTTTAAAGCTCGTCAGTCTGGTCGGACTTCTATCTCTTCAAAWTGAGGTCATTCAAAGAGCTATCAATAACATGTAAGGTAATAAATGTTCGGCTTCTCCACAGAGTGTCGTTTCAACAGATCTGAACCGTTGCTTTAGTTCCAAGTTTACGTCACGTTGATAACAACTCTTGGACCATCATCAAGCAGATTATGCCTTCCTACCTCTTCTGTCTCTTCAATAAAGATATTTTAAAACTCATAGGACTTTTCAGCCACCTCACCTGGATGCTGAAAGATGCACCCTTTTGTGGAGGTGCYCAGGTTTGTGAGGCGCAGTTTTATGTTTATGTGGGACATAGTTCAAGGAGATGGGTCATGTTGACCGCTGCAGTTTAGCTCAGGAGCACGGTAAACAATGGATGACCCCCTTTACCCCTGAAGTCCCTTCATCATCTCGTGACAACACTGTCCTCCGACTGCTTTTAAACATGTTTTACAAGGCATAAAAATGAAAAAAAGCTGCGCCCTTCATTCTCTGGCGAACTGTCAAAACACTGTTCAACCTCACGCCTTTCTCTCCCTTTCAGAAGCAGCCAAGAGGTTCTTTTACAGCTCCACAGAACAGGAATGGAAACTTCCTTATTGCTGGTAATAAGTTGTGGCTCTTGGACAGTTCGTTTGGCTTGAAGCAATCATGCCAAATGATGGATAATGAAAGCTTGGAGTAGACATACTGTCTAGGGCTCCTGACCTGGGTAACCTTTATTTTACCACAATGATGCACCATGAAACTGAAAAATG